CCGTATGGGACTCGCCGATTCACTGTTCGGACTCGCCGATTCCGTACAGTGAATCGGCGATTCACTGTACAGAATCGTCCGGTTCTCTTTAGAACCGGACGATTTCTGATTTTTTAGGCGATCCAGTCCCCTTTTCACGATTTCCGCCGGTTCGACTCGGCGTTTTTTAAAACACTGGTTTGCAAGATTTTAGAGATCATTTTTTTTTTTTCATATTCTTACATTTAGAATTAAAAAATTTGTTAACATTAAAATAATATTTTTCGATGGATTTTTGAGATGCATGTTTAATTCTACATTTTAAAACTGCAACCTTGTATAAACTTTTCCTCAGAAGGGTTTGTCCTAAACGAAACTAAAACCCATTTTTCAATGTTTAGCTAACTCTTTTGGAAGCTTAAGAAAGGAATGGGGTTCAGAGCTCGGACGTTTTAGAGAGAGAAAGGGTTGATGCCTTTGCCGCGGGACAGACAGAGAAGAACCTGCGGTCCTCACTAGAGGAGAGAGAGTGTAAGGTGTAGCCCTAAGCAGAGAGAGAGAGAGAGAGGGAGAGACAGAGGAATGGTGAGCAAGAATCAGAGATCAGCTCGTAAACGCTTCAGGGAAGCTCACCCGGAGCTTCCCCAAAAACCCACTGTTCCGACAGAACCCAAAACCAGTAAGAAGAAGAAGCAGATTCAGAAGAAGAAGAAGGAGAAAGTTCAGTCTGATAAAGGAGCAGATAATGGGTTGGGAAAGCCAAGAAAATCGAAGGTTTTGCGCAAACACCCACTTAGAGTTCCTGGTATGAAACCAGGAGAAAGCTGCTTCATCTGCAAATCCCAAGATCACATAGCCAAGTTTTGCCCATCGAAGGCTCAATGGGAAAGGAAAAAGGTTAACTTTTATCTCCTTTTCACTTTGAGTTTTCTGCTTAATTTGTGTTATTTGTATCTGTCACTGGTGATTCACAGTGGTTTTTGCCTTTTTTTTCGTTCTCTCTCTCTAAACTGTTTCCTCTTCTTTGAAGGGTTGAACTCCTCGTTTTTAAATTGTTTTATTATGTGGGTTCAATCTCTCTCTGCTCTCTCTTTCTCTCTCTCTCTCTCTCTCTCACTCTCTTTCCTTTAATTTATGTATTATGTATTATAGTCTAATATGAGTTTTTTTGTTATGCATTGTTATGCTGTATGCCATTTATTTGTTGATGCTTGTTAATTCTATATATAGTTCTAATTTCTAAATAATAACATTTGGTAATTGGATTTGGCAAAAGGGTTTGAGTTTGTGGGTTTTTTCTTGGAAGGAAAATAACAATGTTAAATCATGATGTAACAAGGAAAATAACAATTTTAAATCATGATGTAACAAAAAATAACAATTTTAAATCATGATGTAACAAAAATAGCAATGAATCGAAGTTTCAAGATGTTATACAGTTAGGTATTCTTTTTTTATTTTTTATGTTGTTTGAAATCATTTTTAGGAATGGTGGATGTATATTCGGGGTCGGTGGTTTATAAGAAGGACTCAGGTCGGGGCTTGCCAGGGTCCAGAACTCTGAGTTAGGTCCAATACAGTTGGTCTAGTATTTCAGAGGCTCGGTTTCATCCTAAAAAAAAGTATTTGATTATTGGGAAACCTGGTTCCCATGGGTTAGGCAGCCTGCCAGGTCCGAGTTACTCATACCCAGTTGGGGGTGGTGCTTGTTCGACCATTTCTAGAGGTTTCTCTTCAAGTTAGGAGCTCACTTCTACAATTTTCTTAAGATTTTCTTGGTCCTAAGTGGCAGGTATGATGCTTCTTCTATAAATGGCCGTGCATGTGATGTTTTATGCTGTCTAGATGTGGCAATGGTCATCAGTGTGTCATCAATATTTTGTGTTTACTACATTCTTCACAAGTACTGAACATGATATGGCACCCTATTGCCAGTGTCGGATCAAGCATGCAACTTTCATCTTCTTGTGACCTAATTCAAGCAAGTTGGGCAGCACTGATATTGATTTCTCTCCATTTCTTTGTTTCAACAGTGAACTGAAATTCACCATTGTATGTAACTGGCGAAATAGGCATTCACCATTGTAGGTAAACCTCTATATAATTTGTTTAATTGGTAGATAGGTACCCGAGATTTAATGTGATCATTTACATTCTCTGGAATTCGTAATCTGTTGAGCCTATGTGTTTATGTCAGCTTCTAAGTGCTCATGAATCGAGAGGTCCTTTATTCAATGTTTCATGATATTAACTATGAATAAAATAAGTTATTAGAAGATTGTTAAAGGGAAAACTGATTACTTGGGACTTGCACAACCCTATTTAACCATGAAAGCTAGCAAGTCATTCTTGGGATACCATATATTCAAAACCCATATCAGTTTCTTGAATGGGAATGGAATTGCAGTTCCTCATTTTTTTCAATAGTTTTTTTTTTTTGAATGAAGGTGGCATTGTATTAGATATCAACTACTATATGCAAAAGACTCACAAGGTGTGAGTAAAGCAGCGAACAGGTCCGGTGCTCACAAAAAGAAAACAAAGCAAAAGATAAATAAGAATTTGTCAATTGTTATGTGGTGCTTTTGAATATCTATTAAAATATTTGATGTCCTACTTTTGGGTTTCTCAAAATATCTACCAGTCTTGGATGCAGGCTCTCCTTGAATATTTGGGTTTCCATTGGGCAGACAGTAGTAGAGCTAAAGCTCTTGAATTAGGATAAAAAAAATGATTTTAGCATGATGCATGTTCATTAAGTGTTTCGTAGTAACACAATATCATGTTCCCAAAATTTTAGAAGTTACAAAGATCATGGGACATCATGCTTCACCATGGTCTCAACATGAAGAAGCGTTCCTTGATAGATCTACAGAATCCCCACCATGGGATCGTTCTATTATTTTGCAGTAATGGAAGTCAATGCTTGAAAGATTGAAACTGACATTCCAAAGGGTGTCACTTAGGAAGCCAGTTTCCCACCGATGGCAAAAATTTATTTCTTCAAGGGTTAAAACTTTGAAACTGGCAATCTTCATAGTTTGACCCTAGTCCATGTCAAAAAAATGAATCCATCCTTGTAAAACAGATTGAACTAAAATGTTAATGTTATCCCACTAGTGTCTATTATGATAGTTGAAGTCTTGGGGCTCCCAAAACCCCAATCTGGGAACAGTACTCTGCATTTGCATCATTGACTTATAACCAAGTATGTTGGATGCTTTCTTCTCATTTAAACTTAAGGGATCCTTGCCGATGGCTAGTTTTTTATTCTCAGGACGAATGCTCTCTTAACAATTTCTAATGTTTCATGAACTTTCACTCATTACTTATAAAAAAGAAACATGTCTTCACCCATTCTCGGTTCTTCTTCCAAATGGTTCCTAGGCATTTCTGGTAACTAAATGCCAATAGTTTAAATCAGTAACGTAATTATTGAATCATTCATATATCTGATGGGCATGGACTAATTGTGGTGTTTCGATTGTAGGTTCCACGTGCATGTTTTCAATAGGTGGAATGCTTATGAAGGCTAAAAATGTGAAGCAAAGCACTTGAATTCTTTCTCATTCTCATGTTTGACAATATTAATTCTTTAGACCATGGCCACAACTCTAAGCACGTTACGACAATTTTTCATTTCTTTTTGTTTCTTGTTGGTAAAAGTGTGAATCTAACTCACAAAAGATAGCAACCATGCTTGCAATGATATCATAATGCTAGGATTTTCTGGAGACAAATGATACCATTGTTGTTAGGACTGAATCAGTGTTTGCACCAGTGAAGGGACTGGCTGGTAGGACTTTGACTATCGGTCCAGACCCGTGAACCAAACCAGTTCATCGGTTGGACCTGTGAGGCATTAAAAATAAAAAAAATTACAAAAAATAAGGAAATTTCCATAATAGGAAATATGGAAAGTTATAGAAAAACTTTAAAATAAATTTTTTTACAAGCAAAACAAATATTTTAAAGAATCTACTTGGAGAAGCCCTTAAAATTTAACACCGAAAACGCAAAAACATAAAATAGTTTTTTTTGGCATTTTCGGATATATTTTAAGGACACTTACAAATTCAAAAACCCTGAAAATTCAAAACAAAAAAATAAAAAAAATTGCAAGCAATAAATTTTATTTATTTATTTATTTTCAGTTTTACTTTTAAGGGCTTTTACAAATTGTAAAAGCCCTGAAAATTTAAAACCTAAAATGCAAAAACAATTGCACAAAATACATTTATGTTTTTGTGTTTTTGCATTTTGAGGACTTTTACAAATTGCCAAAAATGCAAATAAATTGCAAATTTTTTTTTGTATTTTTAATTTTCACATTTCGTTTTCACGTTAATTCTCTTCAAGAAACAATAAATGAAACCTGAAATAGAAAATTTGCACAAATAATTTTTCTATAAAAGCTCTAAACTGAAAACCCAAAAAGTTTTTTTTTTCCTTCTTTAAATGCAAAAAAATAACTTAACATAAACCGCTCACACTTGGAGCTTGAAGAAGTCCTTCTTTTGGCCAGATTGATTGGAAAAGTGGCTGGCTTTTGCCCTCAGGTCCTTGGTTCTTTAGGTTGATTTTTGTGTGTGTGTGTGTGTGTGTGTGCACGTGTGTGCACGTGCGCACTTGTGTGTGTGTGTGTGTGAGAGAGAGAGAGAGAGAGAGAGAGAGAGAGAGAGACTCTCTACCTAACCCAAACTAAACCTACTTCCTTTCTTACGAACCGAAACGACAACACTAACAAACGTAAGTAAAGTTAGAAACGAAACCTTACCTTAACTTATTT